AGATAGATAGATAGATAGATAGATAGATAGATAGATAGATAGATAGATAGATAGATAGATAGACAGATAGATAAACTGAATGAATTCAGAATAATTTGCAGAAGGAGAATATGTGTGCTTAAAAAAGAAGATTAAAATGAAGTTTCTGAACAAAAGTGATTACTGTGAAGGTATTTCATGTGTGGGTTGGAGTGGGGAAGAGTGGTGACCAGAGAACAGGGCCAGCATCACCCACTCAACACAGCCCTTTCTGATTTGAAGCTTTTGCACTTTGTTTTTCTCACATACTGTTGCGCACTCGATTTCACACTTATATGACATCATCCATGCCTATCTTTAAGCAAACAAGGAGCACTTTTCCAGACAAACATTAGTCAGACAGGAGAGACTGAACAGTCAAACCAACACAGCAAATCCTTACATTTCCATCACCGTTCATATATAGTTTCTACTACACTAGTCCAGATTGTCTCACTTAACAATTTTAGGATGACAGCTAAGCTTTATTTGATTGTTAATATAAAGAGCCTCATAGCAGCCAAAATTAAGGGGCTGAGTGTTCATTCAGCACATTTGTAGTAACAAGTAAACATCCCATGTATACATTTTTTGACTTTATGTACTAAGACATATTGGATTAAAATGACTAGTTCCTAAAATTAGATAAATACAATGTAAACACAACATATTCTCTGTTATTTTTTTCTTTCGGCTGCTCCATTCTTCAGGGGTCGCCACAGCGAATTAAATCGCACAAAGACTTGGCAATTATTTTTACACCAGATGCCCTCCCTGATGCAATCACAGACCACCGAGCTACCACAGCCCTCTGTGTGGTGCAGAGCTGTCAAGTGGGGCACTCGGGGGAGCAGACGGTGGGGGTTAAGGGCCTTGCTCAAGGGCCCAGAGTGGAGCAATGAGGGTGGAGGCAGGTGTGGGTGCTTCATCTTTCCCACCCACATTTTGATGTTGTTAATACCGGGAGTTGAACCGGCGACCTTCCAATCACAAGCCCACCTTCTCTAATCTCTGCGCCACCACTCTCCTCCATTATTTATTTGACAAAAAGCAAAAAAAAAAAGATTAATTATTGTGCAAAAACTAAATACTGGTACACCAAATGTTTTTTTTCAGCTTGTAGAACTCAGGCTGTAATAATTTGGATGTTATGATCTTTTATAAGTTTTCCTGTATTGTTCTGGATATGTTTGGCTTTTTTTTTTACAGTGTAACTTTAACTGAAAGATATTTCCAGATATATTTTTATGAAAAGTTTTCTCGAGTTCCAACTTTTAATCAAGCTGAGGTTTGGACTTTGACTGGGTCATTGCAAAACTGATTTGTTTATTTATTTTCAGCCATTTTGTTGTAGATTTGCCGCTGTGTTTGGGCTGTTCAGTCAGATGGCATTACATTTCACTCTCAAATACTTTACAGATGAATTTATGGTCAGCTCAGTGACAAAATGTTAACAGAGCCCATGGCTGCATAACAAGCCCAAATCATCAACCCTCCAACACCGTGCTAGTTGGTACGGGGTGCTTGTGATGATATGGGGTGTTTGATGTTCTCCAACCATGGTGGTGCATTATTGCTAAATCTGTATTTTAAAGTTGATTATACATAGGAATGTTTAAAAGAAATCTTGTGGCTTGGTCAGATAAAATTTTACAAACTAAAGCGATGCTGCATTTTTCTTAAGAGACAAGAGGCTTCCTTTTGGTAACCCTTCCCAACAAGCACTTCTTCCAACTGTCCTGTTACTAATTTTAACATTTGACCAGCTAGCTGAGGCCTGTAGAGCAGGGCTATTCAGGGGGCCACAGTTACTGAAAGCCATAAACTCAGGGGCCAGACATACTGCAGTTATTGTCATTAAGTAAGTTTGTTTTATGGTTTAAAATCTAGTTTTATTTAAAATGAATCCATTGGTGGGCCAAACTGAGTTCATCCATGTACTTGATTTGGCCCCCGGGCTGCCAGTTGAACAGCCCTGCTTTAGAGTCAGAGATGGAGCTCCTGGCTTTATGATAATGTCTATGAGCAGTCTACCCCAGACTTTATAAGGAAATGACCACCCAAGTGAATATCAGTAGTTATCTTGAATGTTTTCAAGAAAATGCAGAAAATGTCACACCTGATGGCTGCTTATTATTATTTAACTCCATTTATCTGAAAGTAGTAAATGTGTACCATATTTTTTTGGACTATAAGGCGCACCGGATTATCAGGTGCAATATCAATGAATGGGTCTGTTTTCATACATAGGGCGTACCGGATTATAAGGCGCATTAAGCAAAACTAAAACATTTTGACAGATTTTTGAGAATCGTGTACCACATAAAATCAGTTCGAGGTCAGTAAACACAACCAAAATTAATACATAAGGCGCACTAGAGTTGCATTCGGGCCCAAAAAAATCCGATCCAACCAGGCCCCAGCCCGTAGGCATCATTTCTGAACCCCACCTGACCCGACGAAATAAAAGTAATTACAGGTCCGAACCCGAAAACAAAACCCAACATTTTTAATTAAGCTTTGACTGTTTATACAGTTATTAACGGTCAGTGGACGCGCAGCTGAATTAAAGGGGCAGAAGATCAGAGCTGAGGGGGTGTTTGTTCTTTTATGGCTGTCAAAGCGCATTAAAACCTTGTTTCTGCCTGCATTCTGCATTACTCAGACATGGACCCTGTTCTGATGTGGCTGCTTTGGAATCTCACCTGTTTGGGTCATCGGCCGTGCGCGTCTGCTGAGTGTAGTAGCGGCTGAATGAAGGTCCATTAGGGTGATGGATCGCTGCCTGGCAGTATAGTCCCATCTGAAGCTTAACTGAACTTTATTTTACCTCTTTCAAGGCCAGTCAGCTCACGGTGAAATGGCCGCATGCAGCTGGTGAATGTATGGCAAGCCATGTTGCCATATAATTGGATTTCCCGGCAAGCCATGTTGCCATATAATTGGATTTTATGGCAAGCCATGTTACCATTTTATGGCAAGCCATGTTGCCATATAATTGGACCGTGGCTGATCCGCTGATGCGATCAAAAGCCTGACACTGATCCGGCCTGCCTATCCAGTACATTATTATGGCCTGGCCCGCCCCAAATTCTGTCCAGGTCGGGCTTCGGGCCCGGGTTAGAAAGGACAGCTCGAAGGCGCACCAGATTATAAAGCTTACTGTTGATTTTTGAGAAAATTAAAGGATTTTAAGTGCACCTTATAGTCCGAAAAATATGGTAGTAAGTTTTGTAATTCCTTTTCAGCCCAGAGAATCTTCACTCCATGATTGCCCTGCCCAAACTTCGAAGCAACAACAAAAAAAGCAGAAACTCATTTTAGAATTTTGTGGCATTTTCACTTAAAAAAATAACTTCAAGGATTGCCACAGACAATTTGTATTCAAGGACATAAAACTGGCAGAGGTACGGAGAAAAAAATGTTGATGTAGTCTTGGGTCTCTGCAGAGAATAACAGCCAGTTTTACCATAGAGGGCTGAGCTACTTCTTGTTAAAATATTTTTTTAAGGATGAGGTGTCTATCAGATGCAATTTTAGTCAAATCTTCAGTGACGATAGAAGAGAGCGCCCTTGCTTTAAACCTCAGTAACCACTCGAACAGCTTGCACAGGGGAGCTCTGAGTGAAGGGTAACACTTAAAAAGTCAAGGCACACCTTTGTATGCAACTAAAAAGCTTTTCATTGTGAAGTTTACTTTACACAACTCTGAAAACCTTTTTTTATTATATCCAGAGAGGATATTATAATTTCATTGTCCCTATTTAGTATTTCTTAAACATTTACTTTGTAAATTTAACGGAGTAAAAAAGTGGTTTGTAACAAGATGTTGGAGAAGGGAGAAAAATCATCATGAAATATTTTGTATTCTTAAATATTTACAATAGCGTAATAAAAAAAAAAAAGCCTTCAACTATTAAAAGCTTGGTGACTTTGTGGCCTTTGCTGCAAGAAATTGTGTTCTTAAAATCACATGACACTTATGTTCCTGTTCATGCAGATAAGAACTTTATTATGAAATACAGAGTCCTGATTAAAAAGCAGCCTTTATTATTGCAACATTTATGAAAGTGACTGGGTTTCAAGAGCAAATGTTCAAAAACGTTCATGAGCTTTCATCCAACTGGCCTAAAAACTAAATATTTATTTTCAGTATCAAAAACTTGACTCGCAAAATCTATTTAATGCTTTAGTTTGTGTTTTTACAATTCCTCACTTTGCCATGAGGCAGACAGAAACGTTCAACCTCTGCACAAACATTCATTAATTGCTCAGACGCAAATGTCCTGCTCAATAAATACCATATTTTCTATTTGTCTGACAAAATGTACCACAAAAGCAACCATTTAAAGCCATTCCAGAAAGGTTGAAATTGTTTGTCTTCTCTAATCATTTTGGTTACATGCTAGCTTGAACCAATCATCATCTGTCTTCTTGATTTTCCATTTTAAAAAAGTGTTATGAACAAAAAAAAATATATATATATATATTTGATCTTAATACAACAACAAAAAATCCTGACCTGGACATTATTGAATTGACTGGAGTTAGGATCACAATGTGCGGTCATCTCCTGATATTACTACAAGACACTGTACTGAAATGTTTGCTTTGAGAAAATAGTTTAAAATGAATCATTTGTAACCAAATATATGTTTATCTCCAGGACATTAACACTGAGTTGCAGTGCAAATATTTAAACAACAAAAATAATCAAAAAACAAAGGTTGCATTTGCACAAAAATGACAAAATATTCATGTTTATTTAAATCAAGGTTCATGCTCATCTTTCCGCATGTTCTCCTTGTTAATACAAAAAAAACCATGCATCTAAATAATTTCTTAGTAATTCGCTAGGCTTAACATGTCTGGATCCCTAAGAATCTACAAAATATATTTTTTGGCTTTGCTCTATTTTTGTTCGTTTTCTTTAGCCACCAAAATAAAATTGTCCAAAACCTAAATTTCTTATATGAACTGATCTGCAACTGGAGCATACAAATATTAACAAACCATCTAACCTCTGCTGTGCAGACATTAATGATGCTAGACTTAGTAAAAATGGATAGGTAACATAGTTTATTTTGCTTTTTTTGAATTTTGGAAAACATCTAAAACAATCATTTAATAAAATTACATGAACTTAAATATAAAGACATATTTACCAAACAAATGCATTTGTATTACCTTTAATGTTCTGGTTGGGGCCCAGCCTGTGCCGTCAATAGAATGCTCTCGCAATAAGCTGCACATGAGGGAAAAAATAAGCACAATTGTTTACAACAGTGCACATTTCCTAAAACGCCTTGAAGCTACTCTTTATGTTTGTTTTCCACTCTTGGAGTAAGTGTTGTTAACGAGGTACACAAGCACCAACATGACTACAATTTTCACAAAGTGCCTAAACCGAGGGCCATACAGACCTTTTTTTTTAAGTAAAAATATATATATTTATCACTTTTCATCTAAAAGGTTTCTAGAGAAGAATGAACGGTAAGTCCAAGAACCATAAACAAAATCCTGTTGATTTCAGTTCAAGCGAATCTATACAAACACCTGAGTGGAGCTGACCTGGGTGGGGTTATCCACTGTTTTCTTACCAGGAGGAATAAAAAAGTAAAAACACAAGGAGGTTCCACAAACGATGATTCATCATGGAGAAAATATAGACACAATTACCTTAAACAGATCTCTCCATTTTCCGTGATATTCGGATGCCATATTCTGGTCAGACATCTGACTTTAGGAGGCTGGAGATAGACACAAATAAAGGAAAACAATTTAAAAGATTATATTAGTACATTCTTAGCAAGGCTCACAATATCTTTTTAATCCATAGCTGTCAGTCAAAACATTAAAAAAACTGCCAAGTAGAATAATAAACTCATTTTAAATCACAATAATCTTTTGGGTAAACAAAGATATAAGGAATAAAATCTTAGGAAGGACTTTATCTATATAAAAATAGAGGTTTCAAACTCCACCGCTAATAATTTCATGACAGCATCAGTGGGAAGAAATTCTGATCCATAAAAATCCAACCCCTCAACTCACAGGCCTCAAAGGATCTACTGCCATGTCATCTACAGTAGTCTCTCGCTACTTCACAGTTCGACTTTCGCGGACTCGCTCTTTCACGGTTTTTCAAAGTAAGAGTGGTCATGACACACAATTACCAAAGCAGAAAATTTAAAGAGAAGTGAACAATGAGTAAAGTTCAGGTGGACTACTTACCACCATGTTATAGGCTTCAGGGACATCTATTTCAAACTGAAATTTTCCACTTTGGTAGTAACCCTCATCTGAAGAAAGACAAAGAAAGAGTTATAAGCATTTGCCAAATAACAAAACATTTCCAATTAAACAAGTTTCAGAGTTTTACTTTCTTTTTTTTTTAATCACAACATAGTTTGATGTTTTTCCCAACAAGGTCAGAATCTCCCCTCAAGAATGTTAACAGATCTCACTGGAGGGAACTTCTGATTATTCCATCCCAATCAGAACTCCTACAGTGCCTCCGGGAGCATCCTTGGACACTCTCACCGCCCTTGTCGTCCCCCCCCCCCCCCCCCCCCCCCCCCCCTCCCCCCCCCCCCCCCCCCCCCGGAATGTCTACATCACCATGTGCTTCTATGTGCGGAGTGGTTTTTTTTTTCCCAATATCAGGGTCTTTCTTCTCAGCCAAGAAGAGTTTGATAGGATTTTTTTTTGCCTCCAAATCCTACATCTTTACTTCTGCTTTTGAATTGGTTCAATGAAAAATGCACAGGTTTTCATTCATTCAACCTTTATTTAGACAGATAAATCACACTGAGCCTCGAATACTTATTTACAAATGTGACCTGTTTAGACGGACAAAAAGTAGTGAAAGGGAACACAATAACTGAACCTTCTCAAAGAAGTCTTTTGTTCATTTTATGTTAGAGCTCTATAGGAAAAGGCCTGCAGATAATAGTATAAAGTGCATCCTTCCTCAGTAACATCTCATTAGATATCATATTGTATCCAGGCAAACACAACTCTATCCAGATATTGGCTTTCTAACTTGCAAAGCCTGATTACAGCTCAAGGAAACCCTTTGGTTCACCTTGTGGTTTTTAAAGGGCACACTCAAATGGCTACAGCTGAGTCAGGGTCCACAGGGCCTAAAGTTTGAGGCTGAGAGAGATAAAAATGCCTGCTGAGATCATTTGAGCTTTCACAGGTAGGCTGTCTGACAACTTCTGACTGAGCTCGAGAGCCTAACAGGAGGAGAGAGCACTTAAGTGGCTGTGTAATGATCCTACTGTGGGTTTGCACATGAACATTAATGAGCTCTGCAGTCTGAGGAGTCAGCATCCGTCAGACTTGAAACTTCTGTCTTGAAACATCTTTCTCAACTGTCAAGATGGAAACTCAAAAAGTGAGCCATTATAAAGTTCTAGAAGAAAAAAAACATACTTAAAGAGTACTTAAAGGGTACTTAAAGAGTAATTAGCAAACTCGTGTCTTTGTTGATTACACTTGACACAATTCACGTTTATTACAGAATGATGGCAAACCTGCATCATGGTTTTTGGAGTAAGTGTTTTTGACACATTTAAATGCAACTGAAATATGTTGAGCTAACATGGAGTCTTTACCACAACATCTGTTTTTTGTCTCTCTCTTCTGATGGTTTTACTGTAAAATAGCTTCATTGTCTGCACATATTGAAAAATTGTCACTGTTCACCCACTAAAGGTAAATCCTTATACTGAACTGGGCAGCATGGTGGCACAGTTGGTAGAGTTGCTGCCTCTCAGCGAGCAGGTTGCCCCAGTTCAAATCCCGATCGGGGGGCCTTTCTGGGTGGAGTTTGTATTTTCTCTCCATGCATGTGTGGGTTTCTTCTGGGTATGCTGGTTTCCTCCCACATACCAAAAACATGCATGTTAGGCTGATTAGTAACTCTAAATTGTCCCTAGCTGTGAAAGAGAGTGAATGTTGTATGTCTTTTTTTGTCACTATGTGTCTCTGTGATGGACTTGAGACCAGTCCAGGGCGTCCCCCGCCTCTTGCAATGATGGCTGGACATGAGCACCAGTGACCCCCGTGACCCGAAAAGGAAAAAGCGGGTAAAGATAATGGATGGATTATACTGAACTGAAATGCTTCTGCTAAATACATGTAGATACAAAAAAAAAAAAAAAAAGCAGAATGGGAAGGACTAAAGAAGAGATATCAAAACCAAAGAACTGATGGACGGCCACAGAAAGGGCAAGAGACAGGAGAAAGTCTAACAAGAAAAATAAGAAAACAGGAAGCATCAACAGTAAAATAGCAACAGCTAAAAGTGATGAATAAGTTATGAATGGTTTCAGCGCAGCGCATGTTGTTAAAAAAAAAATATAGGTTTGCACATACACATATTTAAATTTAATCTCCAAATATTCAGGTATGAACTAGACTCAAGGTATTTCTCAAAATTTGTTTGCATATTCACAGTGGCTTACTGAATTATTTGATGCTGAACACTAATGTTTCCCTGAAGGGCTGATGTGTTTGTTGGTATAAAAGTTAGCATTTACAAAGAAAACCACTGTTTGAAAAACATTGCACAATGTATTCCTGCAATTATGATTTTCCCCTTGACAAATATATAAACGAAAAGTTAGAATATATTGTAGTAAAAATTTATACTGTCTGAAAAGGTCAAGATAAAAATCCTTGAAGTAACTCCCTTTTATTGTGCCTTACTCTGGATTTAGTTTGTATTCAGTTAGATAAGAGACCAGGAGACTTTTGAATTTTTTGAATAATTAGTGCTTTTCACAACAAAAAAGTACAAGTTAAACAAACATAGCCTTTCTTGAAGGAGTACATGTTGCCTACTGATTTGCCAAACATGCCAACATTTTAATCAAGGACCATGCACAAGTTGGTAGTACTCAGAGTACATGTTGAGGATGACTCTTAGCTACATCACCAAACTTTAGAAAAAAAAGAAATTCAGCAAAATAGTCATTTTTGGGGTTTTTTAAGGTCAGTTGGCTGTAGCGTTTATCTTGAATTGAGTTGAGTCCAGTAGTTACTCAGATGTTGATTACTTTATTAGATTTTCATTAAAACCTATCCAATTGTTAGAGATATTTTGCAAAGTGACAGGCAAACCATGATCACCTGCATTATCTGGTCAAGGGTTGATTAAATTGTACTTGTAAATGCTCTCAAAGAGCTTTTACTCACCTACTAATATCAAATATGTTTGTAATAACTCCAGTATTATGAATAACTTAGGCCTTAATATTAAGACCATACATCTAATAGTGATTTTGTATTAGAGGACAGAGGACATCATCTCCTCTGTGGTCCACACTGCTATCATCCACCTAGAGCAGAAGGACTCCTATGTCCGTATGCTCTTTGTGGACTTCGCATCCGCCTTCAACACCATGACTCTCCCAGACACTGATGGACAAACTACTCACACTAGAACTAAGCCCCTCCCTATGCAACTGGGTCCTGGACTTCTTAACCAACAGAGGAGTGAGGATCCACAACTTCTCCTCCTCCACATAACCCTCAGCACAGGCTCCCCTCAGGGCTGTGTGTTGAGCTCCCTTCTGTTTACTCTGCTCATGTACGACTGTGCACCTACCCATCCAGGCTGTCATATTGTGAAGTTTGCAGATGATACAATGGTGGTGGGATGCATCACAAACAATGATGAGTCCAGCTACATGCAGGAGGTGTAACACCCAAAGAGTTTGTGCAGGAAGAACAACCTTCACATCAATATGAAGAAGGCAAAGGAGATGGTCGTGGACTTCAGATGGAACAAACACCCACCCACCCCCACCCCCACCCCACACCCCCCAAACATAGGAGGCTCTGCGGTGGAAGTGGTCTCCAGCTACAAATACTTGGGTGTGCACCTGAATGACAACCTCAGCTGGGGTAACAACACTTCCAGCCCAATCAAGAAAGCACATCAGAGACTCTACTTCCTCAGGCGGCTGAGGCGAGCTGGACTGGGAAGCTCAGTCCTCACCTCCTTCTACAGGTGTGCAGTGGAGAGCATCCTTTGCTCCAGCATCAACGTGTGGCATGGAGGCTGCACAGCTGCAGAAAGGAAAGCTTTGCAGAGTGGTGAAGGCTGCACAGAAGACTGTTGGAGCCCACCTCCCCACCAACACAGACATCTACACCTCTAGATGCAGGAAGAGGGCCACCTGCATCATGAAGGACCCCACTCACCCAGCACACACACTTTTGCCCCGCTTCCCTCAGGAAGGAGGTTGCAAAGCATTAAGTGTAGAACCACAAACGGTGATCTTACCAATCTTACCAAATGCTTCTCGAAAAGTGAATTTTATGAAGAAAAAAAGGGAATTATATGTATTTGTTCCTTTAAATATGACCACTTCCTGCCATTAAAATTCACCCAGTCTCTAATAATAGGTCTGCTCATAAATTTGGTAGGCAGCTTTCTGTAGCTAAATGTAAAACAGAACATCATCACCAGGCAAATCAGGCAGAAAAGCCTAAACATCTGAAACTCTAAGATGCATGCGGTGATCTGTGCATCAATATTTCTTTCATCTGTGTACTAGTAATACTTCAAACTGACGGGTCGAATCACGTTCACCTCGGAGTGTTGCTGCTCTCCCCATTCCTCAAAGACACGGGGGTCTGAGACCACAATGCAATGATGCTGCATGAGAAAAAAAACTGTATTTAAGAAATGAACAGATGATCCAACTGGAAGGACCAATTTGTAGTTTAGTGAATAAATATAAAGATAATATTAATATTATTTAAACAGTATACAATCTGTAGACCTGTAACTTTTTCATTAAATATCACACAAATAAAGCCAGTAACTGTAAATAACTGACTTTCTTCTGTTTGTTTTGCCCGTACTTACTTAAAAAACCTAAACTTGTTTCCACACCTGCAATGGAGGATTGAAATATTTGGGACTTTTTTATTTATTTTTTGAACGGGTGTCCATCTCAACCTTCTTATGAAAAGACAGTGTGCAAATGTAGGAGTGGTTCTCCAGGGTCCATTTACTGCAAGTGTGCATTTTGGTAAAAGTTGCTGCCTCGTGCTCTTTTTCTGCTGACCTGGGTGCTGCTTTAAACCTTGCTCATCAATACTTGGATGGATTCAGAAACATGCGGTATAGATACAAACACAAAAACTGTAAGTCTCATCCATCATTCCAGGTGCTATGAAGAAAACGTGGAGGTTTCTTCTCCCTCTCAACTTTCATACATCCTACTGTAGGTCTCATATTTCATGCTTTGATAGCAATCTCCCGCTGAGAAGCTTTTGCTAATGCCTTAGATGCTCTTGTGTACAAATGGCTTAATGAGACTGTAATGATAGCATACGCATTAAAACGAACCATTTATTGGCAATGACATTAGAACAAATGAGCTAGGCTTCCTTAATGCACAGGCTTACCTGGACTGAAGACTACGATCGGCCCGCAATGTTAAGGGGCCTATTGTTTTAAGGTCAAATGATGAGCTGAAAAAATTTCCATCATTTTGTAACTTGTCAGGTTTTCTATCCATCACCTCAAATGCATTTTTGTGACAGATGACTGAGCCAAATCAAAGTGACCATGTGGGCTCAGTGACATATGACCCACAGGGTCACATTGTTGGGCCAAAAGTTGATCAGTCACAGCTGGATTGATTTTTTTTTTTTTTTTTTTTTATGTGCAGATTAGTGGTATCAGCCTCTCTCACTGCCACATTTTTTTTTTTAATTCACTGGCCTGTCTTTGTGCCTTTGGTAAACTTAAAGTATAACTCTGTCCACTGCTAGGCTTCATTATTTAGCTTTGTGATTACGTTTATGAAAATAATGAATTTTAATACAAACTGGAGCATTAAAAAGCAGAAATTAAACACTTAAGAGATGCACTGATGATACAGACAATACTTCAAAAAGCTGAGCCAAAGCAGAAGAAAAAGGCCAAACGATATAATATCACAGAAACAGCAACTCGCTAACGTCAGATGGTGAAAAGTGATGGAAATACAGCAACTGTTGGCTCCATTCAGCTGTTTCTCTACAAATTCATTGAACTGACCTAATTCAGATTGTGACTGCACTGCGCATGAAATAACTATCAGGTGATTACGTGTTAATTATACCAGCACAACCTCCAGCATGAATAATGCTGAGCTAGAACCAACAACCCATCAATCCATCAGGTAAGATAAAAACGAACAGAAAAAAAACAAAGTCAACAAAAAGGAAAGAAAAAACGACAAAGCAAGACGTGTTCACATAGTTGCAGGTTATATGTTCTCTTCACATGTCAAGATGATTTTACATCACATACAAGTTTCTCAACTGTCTGGACTCTGAGGCAGGCTTCCTGTGCATTTAGGAATTTTCTGCTCTACATAATATCAATAATTAAATTGGGAACATTTAAACAGACCAAAAATGTGTCATACTACAAGGACTTACTGTAACTTTGTTGTTTCCCTGTACAATTGCCATTTAAAGAAATTGTAATTAAAAAAAAAGTAAAGAAAATAAGTAAGACAAGAGAAGGAGCATCAGATAACGATGTTTACTGGGGTGAAAGGGCTGTGTCAGGAGAGACAAACTTTTTAAATAATTGAGCACTGAGAAGTCAATTTCCATGTCAACACCTCTTTAGGAAAGCGCAGCATCAATCGTTTTCTATAACAGCTGTTCTTTGCTTTTCTCTGCAGATATTGCTTAAGAAGTTCTCTGTGGAAGCTAATCTGAGGTCACAGAGCTTTGTCGCGGAGTAAAGACATGGTTGAATCATAGAGAGGCACATGGACTCACATCGCCGTAAACAAGAATTCACTTCCTGTTAAATAAGTATTATAGCACATAAGATGAACAACACCGACTTCAATAGATAGAGAAAAACAGAAAGCATTTGGCAAGTGAAAAGATGTCCCAACTTCCCAAAAAATGTAATAAACTATTAAAAATATACTTCATGTACAGGTGTGTCTTTAAAAATCTCTATATTTTATTCTAACAATATTCGAAATCTCAAAAATGTAGAATATCAGAAAGTGAAACTCATATTATATAGATGCATTAAACATGAAGTGAAATATTTAAAGCCTTTATTTTGTTGTAATTTTCATGATTATAAGGCTTACAGATAATTTTTTAAAAATTCAGTGTCTTCATTCAGTGTCAGTGTTCAGTGAAAACGAGAATATTGTGAAGAGACTCAATATTGTAAACTCCTGGTGTTACATCCTAATCAGCTGATTAACTCATCGGACATGAGCTACAAATGTCTCGTTCCTCAAGTCAAGCCACTCCTGAACCAGAGACACCAGAAGTGTCTTACCTGCTGAGGAGACAAAGAACTGGACTGCAGCTCAGTGGTCCAATGTCCTCTTTTCAGATGAAAGTACATTTTCATGTCATTTTGGAAATCAAGATCCCAGAGTCTGGAGGGAGAGGGGAGAGGAACAGAATCCACACTGCTTGAAGTCCAGAGTGAAGTTTCCACAGTCAGTGATGGTTTGGGTCCAAGTCCTCTGCTGGTGCTGGTCCACTGAGTTTTCTGAAGTCCACATCAACACAGCATCTAGCAGAACATTTTAGAGATTTCACGCCTCCTTCAGCGGACAAGCTTTATGGAGATGCTGATTTCATTTTCCAGCAGGACTCGGCTCCTGCCCACACTGACAGAGGTACCAGAAGCTGGTCAAAGATTTTGAAACACCGAATTTTGTTTTTTTCTTTATCTGTAAGCCATAATCATCAAAATTACAAAAAATAAAGGCTTGAAATATTTAACTTTATGTGTAATGAACCTAAGTAGTATATGAGTTTCACTTTCTGAAAAGATACACAAAAAAAATGGAACTTTTTCACAATTTTCTAATTTTTTTAGATGCTCCTGTATTTTTAATCACATTGATAGCAGGGGGTGATTAAACCTTATAAAGGCTTTTAGGTCTCATTTCTTCTTAATAATTAAACTGCACATCAAGTTCATTATTAATTGAAATCATTTAAAAATTGCTTAGATTCAATCTACAACAAGTGGCTATCTATAATGTAATGACTAATGGAAGCAGGATATAGTTCCTGTCATCTGAAGGGAGCAGTAAGATCATCAATCAACCTTTATTTAGACAGGTAAATCCCAATGAGCCTCGAGGACTCATTTACAAGAGAGACCTGAAGATCATGAAGATCATACCTGCTCTTTGTGTAAAACATCACATTTCACAGACTTCACAGGTCAGCTCTTCTTTTGATATGCACTTTTTTGTGTTTTGTTGTATTATTAACCAGATTAATATGATCCATTCTGGTTAAACTCTTGTTTTTTCTGGACATTCTAAAATCAACTGAGCAGTGGTGTTTCCTGGCTTGTGACTTTACGTGTGTTCTGTAGTCTCAGAACAATTAATAGAAACAAATTATAAAACAGACAGAGCCACACACAAAACAACAGTAAATCAAACGAGATTAGAAAACGGCTCAAATTTGGACAAAAACTACTGTAATTTCCAGACTATAAGCCGCTCCTTTTTTAACACGCTTTGAACACTGCGGCTTATACAATGCCGCGGCTAATTTATGGATTTTTATTTATTTTTTGACGAGCTAACGAGCTTTATGCCGCCAAAACATTTAGCTTCGTCACACCTGAGCGCTTACATAGCTGCCCAATACATGTCTCTCATGGGGGGTGGGTCCTCTTAACTCACTGAGACTACCTGTATAAATAAAAGGTTAAAAAAATAATAACCTGATCAATGAAATTACCGAACAGGTCACAAGTTTCATTGGTCTACTGGGATGGAAAACAAAGTCCCCCCCATCCCATTCTCCTGTTCTCCCCTCCCCGTTGTGCCCCCAGGGAGGGAGAAAACGTGACGAAGAGGACAGAACAAGCTCATGGGCGCAGTGCACAGCATATACATGTCTGGTGTGTATAGGAAGAAGATGAAGCTTGCAATCAATGATTTCCTGGTAGGCTACTGGTTTTTTGTTTTATTTTTTCAACCAGCTGTGTTACAGGCACTGGTCAGAAAAATACATTTACTTTATTCATGTGTCTATGTTACCGGTATATATTTCATTAAAAGTTAAAAATATATATTTCTGTGTAAATATGTCAGGTTACAATGTGGACATCTGTGGCTTATACACAAGTGCGGCCTATATATGTACTTTTTTTGTGGGCGTGGCTTATATTCAGACGTGCTCTATAGTCCGGAAATTACAGTACTTGCAGACGCGCCGCAATTCTGCTTAAGTGTACCAACATGGAGTTCTTGAATACACATTTTATAACCAAATTAGCAATTTCATCATTTTCTATCACTACTTTACACAACCATAATTAAAAGGAGTAGAAAACCTGCTTTTACCATGTCTTTATGCATTTGATGTTTGCCACTCTTTCTAAATGGCAATGAGAAGGGTTTGCACAGAGTTTGTGCATGACAGGTAGAAAAGGAAGTGACAACAAAGACAGCCTTCTTGTGTAATTCCACGTTGGTGTGTTTGTTTTGCACAACTCGACGGGTAGCCCACTTAGCTCAGAATGCTGCTGAGCGAGCAGAATGGACTTTGGGATAAATGAAAGTGTAGAGGTAATGCAGGAATACAAAAATGAGCTCAAAGTACCTTTCAGTGCAAATTAATACACACTAAAAATCAGAGCAAACTGCTAACACCTGCAGTTTAACTCTCCATCACAAAAATGTTTTTCTTCTACCTGGAAAAAAAAACATCCCTATTGTAGCTCCTTCTGTACAACATTAATAAATTTGGGAGGACATTTGATTTATAACGTTTTACACATACCATAATTTAATAATCACCAGAACCAGAATGAACTAAATGTGTAAGGTGATAAAAGGACTTTTTTTTTTTTTTTATCCAGTTACCGGTAACCAATTAACAACAGGTAGCTCACACACAGAAGATTGTTTTTCTTACCAGGAGACACTGCCAGCTGAAAATGATGCAGCTTATTCTCATCTGGGAAACTGGCTTTGCATGTACCTGTAATGTGATGGGCGAGAGAAAACAGTTATCAAGTTACTGGTACTTCCTTTGTGGTTTTAAAATCAATAACTTTTGAAACTGACTAATGATTTGCCTTTAGGTGTTCCTATGGCACCATATTCCCCCCTAGTGTGTAGTGACAGGTACTGCCTGTAATATGAGTAACTGGAGAGTGGAGTTTTAGTTGGATTTTCATCTTCGTTGGTGTGTTTTAATTCAACAATGCAGCTGTTCAAAGTATATTAAACTTGAGAGGGGAAGTCTTGTTTCTATGTAAGCGCAGTGAAGCAGTCGATTAGCTCAGAGTCCGTTCAGATTGTCACAGGACTCACCACGGCAAAGGATGAATAAAAATCAGATTTCCTTTTTACACAAAGGACTTTGAAATAAAATGAGACAATGACATATCTTAAACATGAATAGAAGTTCAAACTATCGCACTCCTCATTCACCAAATACATTAATACAGAATTAAATAAATGTACCCGGATACGACCAGAAGACAAGTATTTTGTTAGTTACATGTTCAACGTTCCTCGCAGTACCAACAAAACCATTATCTTAATGAACTAGAAACCAGAATGTAGACAGCATGAAAAGAACAGCGGCCAAATGACTCGTGCATTTATCTACTATAATGAAAACATGAAAAGAAAATGGCAACTACTGAGAAAATATATATATTCCATGATTTGATACCCAAAAACTGAAAAACCAAACAGAATGAAATATTAAAGAGGAATGGAAAGCTGCCTTTTGAAACAGAAAGGCTTGTAAAGTGTATTTCAAAGGTTAAATTTGAAAAACAAAGCTGTGCCTTGAGTTCATGAGCATATTTGCCTTTAGTTTGCCTTTCATTTCCCTTTTCTGTGTAGCAATGCCCTCGTTTCTGTCAAGACAGTGCTGGTGTACCCATCAGGTAAGATATGCAAATTAGATATGTATAAATCAAATACTGTTGTTGGTGTGCACAATGTATCCAGTTTCACAGCATCTAGTCAAAAATAAGATAATAGAGGCGTTACAAGCAAGATGGTAGCTGTGCATATTTACTTCCAAAGTCAATACTTTTATCAAAAACCGTAATTTAAATTAAATAATTCAGCTAATAATTATTGTAAACAGAGACTTTATTTTAAATCAATTAAGTTTTGGGGGAATTTATTCATTTTATTTGCGTAATGTATCACTAAACAGGCGGCTTTCTTCAGCTTGCACTAAAAAAAACGAGCGTTCAGTCAAAGCAGCCATGATAAACTCTGACACTGTGTGTAATGATGAATGCTCTAACGCTTCATAAGGCCGATGTTCACTATACAGGAAATTCTCAAATTAAAGCCTGTGGGGTGAGCAAATATCTCCCAACACCAGAAATAACAAGAGGCCCCGTGAGATCAACAGTAAACATGTCTATATTTCGTCCCACAACTCATTTTCTGCTTCATACAGAAAGATTTATGTGGTGGAGATGAAAACCTACAGCATCATGGCCTTTGATTAAACTACTTTAAAGATTTTCTTTTTTCTATTTATTAAGGCATTTGAAGGGAACATGCTTTTTGATGAAAAACAAACAAAGTTCAGTCAGGTCATCTGGACGGTTTCTTTTTATAATACTGAGATATTTCGTCCATCATCCAAAAAACTTCATCAGCCTGAGGAGCCACAACAAACTAAGTCCCACAAGCAGCAAACCAACATAGTGGACCAACCAGTTTGCTGGTGATAAGATGGTTTCTGAGGCCCTCCCTCTCCATCGACAAAATGTCTCAACAACAAAAAAGGAAACCATCCAGATGACCTGACTGAACTTTGTTGGAATTTTTTTTTTAACCTGGATTATTGAGCATGAACTTTGACCTTTTCACCAACAAATTAGTTGGTCCACTACGTGGGTTTGCTGCTTGTGGAGCTCATTTTGTTGTAGCTCCTCGGACTGATGAAGTCCTTTGGATAAGACGAAATGTCTCAACAACAACAACAAAAAAAAAAAACATCCAGATGACCTGACTGAACTTTGTTGGATTTTCTACCGGGATTATTGAGCGTGAATTTTGAAACCAAACAACATTTTTTTAATTACTTAATAAAAAATGTAAATATTCAGTTAATTTGCCTTGTTCAACAAATTAAATGCATCATGATTAAATAGAAAAAAATATCAGAGCACTTCGCCAATCAACAACAAATAAATAATTATTTATGGTTGTAAAATGAAAGGAATACTTACTAGGGAGATTGGCTTCAAGTTCTGCTACTTCTGTTGAGACAAAATAAGAACGATGAGTTCAAATGAAGCAAAGCGGACGTGAAATGTTGAGGATGGCAAATGTGTTGTAACCATGTGTTATTTTGTTGTTTAAAATTACTTGTTTTGCCAATTTTACTCAACTGAGCTTATGGAGTAAATCTCGAAAAAATGTTGATGCCTAAAAAATAATCAAAAGTTGAAAAAAAAAATCTATAATTAGGCCAATTCATTCAAAGAACAAATGGTGTTTAAACTATTTTTTTCTGCAAAATGTGTAGTGTACATATTGCACAAATACATTTCTAAAAAGGCGTTGCATGCAGCACATTGTGGCGAGCAAAAAAAACAGCAAAAACAAACATGAAATGAAAGGATGGTAGAAAAAAATAGGATGAAAAGAAAGAAAAACAGGGCATGAAACAGTGGAGAGCTGTTTTTGCTGGTACTGGCTCCGACTCAAGTTCTGTTTCGTTTTTTTACACCACTTATTTAACACCTACTAAAACACAAGTGTGAGCAATCTATGTCTTTGTTCTAGCTTGATAAGACTTTTTCATTTTCACTCTTTTAAATATTTGAGATGAATGCATCCAATTAGAAACTTAAAAATCCTCGGTGGAGTGTTTTTTTTTCCTCAGCCTACATAAAATGTCTGTAGAAAACTTCAGCTTCAATGCATCTCTGTTAGACAGATAGTATTTAGACCAACATGACTTCTTTCATAGAAAGTGTTTCTTTATACAACAGATTTTAATCAGTCGTGACCCCTTCTACACATCGGTATGATATGGTTTAAAAAAAGTACCATATTTTTCGGACTATAAGTCACACTTTTTTTTTTTTCAGTTTGGCCAGTCCTGCGAATTATAGTCTGAAACGACTTATGTTCTATTTCGTATATTTATATATTTTCATTTATTTCCTAAACATTCACTTAGAGCCAACTGAGAACAACTTAACACAAGTAAAACACCCCCAAAAGGTGGAGTTGTTCAGAAGCGTCACTGAGGATCAAGAATTCAATGGATTCAGTGATGTGGACTGAAACTGGTGAATTTACCAGTAACTTGCTTGTCGGCTTGTTCTGTTAATCAAGCCTGTTCAGGATCCCAGGTATGTTCGGTGTGTTATTGTTATTTTCAGATTAGGGCTGGACGATGTGACCAAAACTTTTATCACGATATATTTCTTAATTTCAGTCGATAACGATATAATTAGATATCGATATAAACAATATAAAAGCCTTCGAAAAACTGTAGAAACTGTATAAATAATGTTCACCTTTTATTTGTATGTAGCCTTCAAAGACAAATTGAAATCGCCGTCAAATAAACATAAAACCCTCAACTTTGTCAATATTAATAGATTTCACTTTAAACAACATAACCATAAGGTTTGCTGCATGTGTTTCTCTTTTGATACAGCTGGGGGCGTCGTTTCAGGGACACGTTGGCTCAAACTTTATTGTGCTTCATCTTCTGACTCTCAGCTATTCTATTGAGTGGAAACTCTTCAGAAGAAACCAGTTAGATGTTCCCAGCGCTAGTTGGAATGACTCTCCGTCACATTTTGCAGCACACTGAAACCTGCAGTTTATCGGATCTTAGAAAACCGAACCACTTCCACACAGCCGAATTAGTCTTTCCTCTTATCAATTATGTTATCTGCTTTCTCTTCGCTTGTGAAAGATTGTTCAGTCACATTCTGACAGTTATGGGAACTCATTTTGATGCAAAAATTTAACGCGCGTTGGAGATTAGCCTAGCCTGCTACCGCTAACGCCTTCTGAACTCTAGCTCTGCATAACATCTACGTCACCACGCACTTACGTAGTCGTGTCGCACCTTTTTCTGTCCAGGTGGAAACTGAAGCGGCCGCTTCAACCCGAACAGAAAAAGAAACGCGTCAGTGAAACTCTGCAATCCTATCGAAATATCAAAAATGTGTTTAAAACTCATATCATCGTTAATGAATAAAAGTATATTGCGACATATATCGAATTATTGTCCAGCAGTATTTCAGATTAAATGTCTGTTCTTGCACTTTGTGAAATACACTTCTAAATACATGCAACATTTTTTGACTGATGCGACCTATTACTCCGAAGTGACTTATAGTCCAGAAAATGTGGTATTCAAAGGAAAGTTTGTTATAATGTAGAAACTTCCATCATTTATCCTGGTGGTTCTCATCAGTGGAAGGATAAAGCTGCATTTCAACCACAACACCAATTTCTATCCAGTCATCAAGACAGTTAGGAATGCCTTCAGACTGGATGTTGCTTAAGGTTTGATGGAAATATAAAGTTTGCAAACATCTCAAGTCAATGAAAACAAACAGTATATTTAGCTTCAATGTTGAGTGCGGAGACTTCTTATGATAATTAACTGTAATCTCTATAATCAGGTAGATTCACTGGTCTTCAGAGAAGGATCAATTATCTGCTTGCTGATAGTTTCCTTTGCTCCTGTAGCACAGAGTGAGCTCATCTGAAAGGATGAAGGACTGAGGAGAACCTTTGGTCAGGAGGCGGTCCCTGATGGAGACCCTGTGGGTGGCGTCTGAGGCTCCGGAGGCACGGCCCGTCTTCCCTCCATCGTCCTTCTTTAACTTGCTGGCCAGTGTGAGCATGACTGCACTGCTGTGGCACGCTTACGTCTGCACTGTGCCGTCTGCTGCTCAAATGTCTGCAAAGAACACAAACCAAAACAAATATCCTGATAAATTCACAACATGCACAAATCTGACTTTTCATTTACAGCTTACGTGAGAATTTAAAATATTGTGTGTGTGGGGGGGGGGGGCTCATTTAAAGTATTGTGTTGTTATGGTCTGCAATTAAAGTTTTTTTTTTTTTTAAACACAAAGTAAATATAAAAAGTTTAGTTTGATTTGATATGTGATACAAGTACAAAAGATACACACAAAAAAAACATGTATTTATTTCATACATACATTTTTCAAGTGTAGTGAGCTTTAAAAGAAGTAGATTTAAGAAATTGTATGATGTAACTTAAATGCATCATAAAGTTAAAAAAAATACTTTTTTTTGTTTGTTTTTTGAGTACTTTGTTATGATTTCAGTTGAGAGACAGTATTAAACATCAGCTCCAATCCACGGGAAGTCTGCAGTGACTCTGCACGAACACAGACGTGTAAAAAAAAAATTAACACAAGTCGCTTTTGAAAAAAAAATGTGTCGACAAGAACAGCTACTAAATTACCAACAAAAAGGAGAATTCAAAACTAATCTGCATAAAACAAATTTCTATAAATGTCAGTAATTCCCATACATAGCTGGTCTTTGAAAATGTTTCAACTTGTCAAAGTTTCTTCTCTGCAAGTTTTTATGTTGCTCGTTTCAAAGCTGTAAAAATTAGGGAACAAATTATATATATATATATATATATATATATATATATATATATATATATATATATATATATATATATGTGACTTTCTATAATGGTGGCCACTTTGTTTCTCAAGCAGTCCCCCGCTGAAGGCCAGTTGTTCACGCAGAACAGCCACATCTGTGGTGTGTTCCAATCAAGTGTTTTGTCCCAAATAATAATCCAAGTTGATTAAATTAAATATTTGTCAATACTTAGTTTTCATCTAATACTAGTAGTGTTTACAGCACAGAGTGGCAGACTACACATCATAAGCACATAAAAGATTTATGGTATGTAAATGATTCCAAAGTATTGCAATGAGGATGGTATAAAATCATAGTAGGTCAACAACAAAGATCAGTGTTGTCAGCTACTTTGAAAGCAATCAATGAAACAAGCTCATGTTCGAACCCAATCCAGAACTCCAGATTGGCTCAGGACATCAATCAACCTTTATTTATACAGGTAATTCCCATTGAGCCTCGAGGACTCAATTACAAGAGAGACCTGATTTCAACAAAGAAAGATGACAACAATGGACAACAGCAACAACAATAAACAGTTATAAAAAAAAAGCATACTACAGTTTTTTTTTTTTGTTTTTTGTTTTTTTTTTACATGACATAACAGTTTACAACTTATCAGAGCAATAAACAAGTATTCACTAAACCACAGACTTTCATTTTTTGGTGGATTAAACAAAACAAATAAAGGCAGTTCAACATTATTTCAAGAAGACATTAGAAACAGCCCTTAATTTGTAAAATGAGTAACTCTGCTTTACCAAGCAACAAAAGCAACGTTATCCATCTCAAATGGACATGGGGTAGATCTGAAGCCATTTCAGAATTGAATCAGCCAAATAAAAATCACAGTCTGATGAACAAACATGATGTTTAATTGAATCAGAATATAATGGAGTTAAATACTTGACTCAGCAAAGAACCGACTGACCCGCCATATTGCCAGCCTCGTCAAAAAAAAGACAGGTCAGAAAGACGAACAATTCAGATTAATTAACAAGAAAAGCTGAAGAATAATCAGTGTTTTCAAAAAAATTAAAAAAGCACAGGTCTGACTGTGATGAAGTTGATTAGATGCTGTTATAGATATGCATAGAAAAGAATTCTGTACTCTGACTTTTCTCAAAGTCTTTAAAGTTGTCTTATGAAACAAATAGAAGATAAAAAGTTGCTATTTTTGCGTTTTGTTAGCGCAGCCAGGTCATCTGGACGGTTTCTTTTGTTGCTGAAACGTTTCATCCTTCATCCCAAGGACTGGTGTGGAGGTTGGATTTATACCTGGATTAATGAGCATGAACTTTGCTGTTTTGAACCACCAGAGGACGGGCCCCAAAGGCCATCTTATCACCAGCAAACTGGTTTTTACACTCTGGGAGTGAGCCGTTAGTGGGATTCAGTTGGGTTTGGTGGGTTCCTCAGACTGAAGGAGTCATTCGGATGAAGGACGAAACGTCTCAGCAACAAAAGAAACCGTCCAGATGACTTGACTGAGCATTGTTGGATTATTGAGCATGAACTTTGGTGAAAACAACCAATAGTTAAGCCTAAGTGTGATGTACTAATGTAACACAGTTCAGATTTTGTTCAGCCCACACATCTTGTATACTCATTACACAATAAACTCTGCCAAGTAACTACCATACTTGTCTCAGTGTTAGCGTCTGTAATACTGTAATCTCTGCACTTTGTGTAATCCAGTTTGAGTTTGGGTGATCTCTCTGTGAGGCGCAGGAAGCAAAGTGAAGGTGTCAGTTGTCAGTGAGGCCATGAAATGTGTGTCACTGAGCCCGACTCCACGTCCACCTGCCTCAGCTGTCAATCAATGAGCTCTGACACAGTTCACTTAGTGTGTCACTGCTGGGCAACAGCAAGTTCACGTAACAATATTCCCATACAGTCAAAAAAAGAGTTAACTAACAAAACTGATGATGAAAAAAAAATAAAACACCTTTAATTTAGTTCAAAACTCTTGAGCTATTTTTCTTCTTTAAATGTTGCTTCCACTAAACAAAACAATTTTTATAATTTTTCATCGAAATCTTGTAAAATATTTTGTTCCCAGAATTTCTGAAAGATTTTTTTAATTTTTTTATTTTTACTGGCTGCTTGTCACCAATATTTACTCCATTTCCTGATCATTTTCATAAGAATGTTTTCATATTTCAATCTGTCATGGTGCCCAACTCTAACCTACAAATAATTCAAGCTTCAGAATATATCTTAAAGACAAAAGTGCGGGTGTTGATACGCGACAGGCTTTTAAGACATCCTGTCTAAAAAAAACTATAATGTATTATTTTTGTTATATCAATTAAAAACACAAACAATAACAGTCTTGACAAGCACAAAATAGCACATTTCCACCAATAAGAAGATCCTTGAAGAGCAGTTTGTTGCTAACTTAGCATATATTGGAATGATGTCGCTACATCTCTAAAATGTTTGGGTAAAAATGAACAAAAGAAACCAGAAGAAAGCCTGGAAAGGACCTGATACAGGACCTGAGGGATGCATAATCTTTGGGTGGTCCTCAAAAACCTCTTTTAGCAATGGTCACAGCAAAGTTGACTTTCAAGAGGTCATTCTTAAGATGGAAAAACAAGAGAGAAAAGTTTGTACACCAAATCACAGAATAAGTGGAATGACAAGTCAGTGGACACAAATCTTATTAAATAAAACATCCAAAATTGTACAAAACTGGTTCTACTTGTTATCCATATGTATGGAAAGGGTTTGGTGAGAAGAAACGAGTGTGCTATGAACATACAAAGAACACTTAAGATTTCTACACTACATAAAATGCCTAATGGAACGTACTGTGCTTAACATTTATCTGCTTTCTTTTGAGCACAAGAGGAGAAAAGAAAACACTGGAATATTATCAGACATGGCTCCGTAAAACCCAAACATCAACATTATAAACGCCTTGAAAAAATTTAAATAAAACTAAAGTCAACTTAATTATCCCAGAGGAGATTTGAAATGTCATACAAGACATGATGTGAACACAACATAATAAATTTATGGGAAAGTTTGCCCCCAAAAAATCAGTCTGTCAAAATATGATGTGTATATATTGCGGGTTAACAAAATCTAAATTAAACTTTGTTTGTTGTTGTGTTTTTCTTTGGGGGGTGGGGGGGTATCTCTACTATGTTCCCTTCTAGAGCTGGGCATGTTTCATTAAAACAATGCTGTGCATGAACTGTGAACTAAAGGGAAGTTCAAAGTGTTTCAACACTGTACTGCGTCCTGTAATTTTTACTTAACCAAGCCCAACTACAAAACTTGCATCTGATTCCTGTGGTTTTCTACACAACTCCGTATCTAAACAATAAATCCATCTAATGTCTATTTTACCGAAACAAATAAACAGAAAAGAATAGCCAACCCTGAAGGACATGCTGTGGGACAAAAAGCAGCTGATTCCAGGTTCAATTTCAAAACACTAACGTCTCTCAAAGCAATCGGACAGAAGCGGAAAACAAACAGTTCTAAATTCAGCGTTAATGTTTTCACTCATGAATGAAGTGTTTCGTGTTTAAAAGCAAAAGTTTGACACAAAGTGCAGCTTGTTCGTTCTTTGTCTTGTTACCTTTCTGTATCAGAACAGCTGAGCTAGCGCTTCGTGCTAAACCATAGTCAGCTGCTGTCCTCCGGGCGAGCGGCGGTCGGATCAGCAGCACCAAGCCGAGATAGTATCAGGCACGTCCGGCTCGAAAACCACCGAAAAAACCGGGGTTTGCGATTCTGACAGTGACTGGAAACTGATTTGGGACTCAACTGACAGAACTTCGCTCCAGTGTCATGAGCAAAGGAAGTGCAGTGAAAGCGTTCCGTTGTTGTTGTTGGCCGTGTAGACACGCGGTTACAGATAAATTGTTCCGCAGCGCTTAGAGTTCCTAGGAAGCTTCAGGAAGTTCCATCTTTTTTAAACTGTCAAATTAATGTTCTTTACGTCATATATATATATATATATAATATATATCTATGCATGTATATATATAAATATATATACATGCATAGATAAAAAATACACACGCACACACACATATATATATGATTAGTCTCTAGAATGTTTTGTTCAATTTGCTTCGTAGATTGTTGTAAAGCGCTTTGAGTATCTTGGATAGAAAGGTACTACATAAGCACAGTCTATTTACCATTTTGTAATAGTAGTTGCAGTAGTAATTTTTTCATTTTTTTTCATTTACCCTTTATTTATACAGGTAGTCTCACTGAGACTCGAGAACTCATTTTCAAGAGAGACCTGTTTAGGGAGCAGATGGTGGGGGTTAAGGGCCTTGCTCAGGGGCTCAGAGTGGGGCGAATGAAGGTGTGGGTGCTTCATCTTTTCCACCCACATTTTGATGTTGACGGTACCGGGAGTTGAACCTGCAACTTTCCGATCACAGGCTCATCTTCTAACCTCTGCGCCACCACTCCCCCATACAACATAATACTATACAACATAGCTGGTCTCAGCTATGTTGTACGGTCAGGAGAAAGTGACATTGACAAAAAGACAGGAGAAATAACTGGAAGTGGAAGAAATGAAGATGATGAGGTTCTCCTTAGGAGTAGCAAGGATGGATAAGATTAGGAATGAGGTCATCAGAGGTACAGCACAGGTTGAACAGCTGGGAGATAAAGTTAGAGGCCAGACTGAGATGGTTTGGACATGTCCAGAGGAGGGACCGTGGGTATATTGGTAGAAAGATGTTAGAAATGCAGCTGCCAGGAAAAAGACAAAGAGGAGATATATGGATGCAGTTAGAGAGGACATGGAGATAGTTGGAGTGAGGACAAAGGATGCAGAGGACAGAGTGAGATGGAGGAGGATAACTTGCTGTGGAGACCCCTGAAGAGGAAAAAGCCAAAAGAAGAAGAGTTGCATTAGTAAATACAAGTTTTACAAGTGAGTGCATGGGTCTTATTTACTCCAATAAAACAAGTATGACAACCAAGTCCAAAAGGAGACTGGAAACACTGATTTAGTTCACGTGTTGTGATTACATTAAGATTAAAGTTTCAGCTGCAAAGATTAATTATCAAAGGTTAGGTAATGATTTACTGCTTTGTGTAAGCTCTTTTAGATTCAAAATATTTTTTATGTAATCATTTAAATTTTGTCCCCCGTTGGATTGGCTATAATACCAAATGTCTCAAGTTTATCATTTCTGTTGTTTCCACCCCATGTAAACATGTCCTCTCTGTAGTTCTTGTGCTTTTAGTATTTCTTCTTTCTGTTTCAGAGCTTGGGGTGAAAAGCTTTGTGTGTGCAGCTGTGAGGCAAAGAAAACTTCTCTGCTCATACTGTGTTTGATGTGATTACTGAAGAGAGAAGACAGACAATTTTCAGAACAATACAAAAGTGTGACTTACTCCACACACATCTTGATTATGATCTTTTACCAAATAAAAAAATAGCTTTTTTTAGCATGAAAAGATGATCCGGTCTAGCAGAGCTGGACGCCAAAAGATAATTATCTGATTCATGTCTGAGAGTTAACCCAAATTAAATCCTAACTAGAGATGCAAGATATTGGATTTTTGGCCAATGTCCTATATGCCAATATGTTAAAACTTATTTGGCTGATAACCAATACCAATATTTTTTTTCTTAGACCTACTTACAGAGACTGTATAGCTTTTTCTGCTTTTGAATTTAAATACATTATTCTGCATGGTCTGTGTCAGTTTGGCCTGCTACCAAATGCAGATGCCAAAAAGGGGACTGAAAATTATGTAACACTTCAACTTGGATTATGTTTAATGTCAAATTTATTCATGACATTACTCTCTCTAACACAATTCAATTCAGTTTATTTATATAGCGCCAAATCACAACAAAGGTTGTCTCAGGGCACTTTACAGGAGCATTCACATACATAGAAAAGCCAATTAGTAAAGTTCTCTATCTAAAGAATCCAGCAGACAAGTTGAACGTTGGCTTTGTCGCAGTCTCCCATCCTGAGCAAGCACAGTGGCAACAGTGGAAAGGAAAACTCCCTTTTAAAAGGAAGAAACCTCGAGCAGAACCAGGCTCAGCACAAGCGGCCATCTGCTTTGACCGGCTGGTTTGAGAGGACAGAAAGGAGAGACAAACGAACATAGAATGGTAGGTCCAGGTATAGGTCCAGGTGTACCTGAAAGACAAAAAAACACAAGTTAAGGATAGAAAAAACAATTACAAATACAAAACTGGTTGAGCAGAGTAAGTAAAGACAGTAGCAGAGTGAAAAAGTGTGGTCAGTTTGTCCTCCAGCAGTCTAAACCTATATCAGCATAACTAAGGGACAACTCAGGAAACCCAAGCCAACCCTAACTGGAGGATTTAGCAAAAAGAAAAGTCTTAAGCCAAGTTTTAAAACTGGATAATGTGTCAGCCTCACGGACAGAGATCGGAAGTTGGTTCCACAAGAGAGGAGCCTGATAACTGAAAGATCTTCCTCCCATTCTGTTTTTTGGAAACTCTAGGAACCACAAGTAAACCTGTAGCCTGAGAGTGAAGTGCTCTGTTAGGAAAATATGGAACAATAAGATCTGTAATATAAGATGGAGCTAGGTTGTTGAGAGCTTTGTAGGTTAGAAGTAGAATTTTGAATTTTATTCTGGATTTGACAGGGAGCCAATGGAGAGAAGCTAAAACTGGAGAGATATGATCTCTCCCACTAACTCCAGTTAAGACTCTGGCAGCAGCATTTTGGATCAACTGAAGATGCTTTAAAGAAGTATTTGTACACCCAGATAATAAACCATTGCAATAGTCCAGTCTAGATGTGACAAATGCATGACAACACTCGAAAAGTGCAAATTTGTACATTTTCACAAATCTAAACTCAACGGCGCGCGTAACGTCATAACGTTGTGCTGGTGCTGCAGGCGTCCTTGTCACTGGGTTGTCATACAAAAACAGTGTCTTTTATATCGGTGAATTATTTTGATGGAATGGCCGATGTCCGATATTTTAACTTTATTGCGAATACTGATACCATGCCGATAATATTGTGCCTCTCTACTCCTAACATTTGAATGAAAGCGTGACTCACTCATCATTAACCACATCACATTCTTGGTTAACCTGTCGGGTCAAATAAGAGTTTGAAAAATAAAAGCTAAAGAGATGGAGAGAGAAGCTCATAAAGTTTGAAACAATATGTTTTAGTTTCTCTTCAACATCTTTCTGTTTGGACGGGTGCTGAGCTGGAGAGTCCTGCCGTTTGTGGGTTTTACACAGTATTCTTGTTATTCGGTGTCTGTCAATGTAGAACAAACATAACATCAAAGAAGAAATATTATCACCTTTTAGCCTAGAACATAAAGCCTTATAAAGTATATAGAGAATAGAAATAAAAAAGTTATGATTTATGTGACAAACTAATAACAATCAACTTTCTACTTAGGTGACGCACAGAGGACAAAATCCAGCAAATAATCAGATAATTATGATTTTGAGAGAACAAAATAAACAAGATAATTCTAAATAGTTTGTCACACTTTTCTGCCCGAAGGAGGAGGGAATTAACTGACACAAGATGCCTCATGACACATTAGAGTTTTCTGTTTATCTTTTCAGAAAAGTCTCCAAAGTCTAATTAGCTCCGTTCTGCTTTGATGTTTGTAATGGAGGCCCAGCAGTGACAGGGACAGTTTTCACCTTCTGTAGCAAAAAGCAGCTGTTTGCTGTTAGATATGAGAACATCAGGATTCTAAAAGGCATGAAACATGTTGACACCCTTTCATCTTCCTGCACGACTGAGAATCAGCCACACTGATTACTTTACTGCCTGAACAGTTTTTTTGTTTGTTGTAAAATATTAAACTGTATTTGGAACAGTAATTAAATGTTGATTTAGGGTATTTAACATCAAACACTTGTCATTTTACTGATATCCTAAAGCATAAGTCATAAAATTTTATATTAGATGTGAATGAAAATTTGATTTTAACCAAACCTCATAGTAAACTGTGAAACATTCATTAAAATGATAGAAGAAGAGCTCACTTTCAAGGTTCAAGGTTTATTGTCATTCACATCAAATGTGGTACATGAGGTGGAATGATGAATTTTTGTACACAGGGTCCCAGTTACATGAACAATAGCAAAAATATAAAGAGTAAAAAGAAACAGTGAATAAGGATCTAAGATATACTCTATACGCTAAACGAACGCCAAACGATTTGTTAAAATATCTAAGATATACGCTAACTACAAATATTGCAAAACAATACACCAAACAACAGCAGCACAAACCTTTGTGGGTAGATTACTACAAATGAATGAATACAGCAGCATGAAATAATCAGTAACATGAGATCAGCAGCACATATCACCAATCAAAGTTGCATTAGTTTTTTTTTTTCACAGTGATTATCCTGGTTAGGGATTCATGAGTCTAACAGTTTCAGGGTATAAGCTGTTCCTCAGTCTTTTCTCAGTCTAGTGTTCTGCACTTAATGCTACGCAACCTTCTGCCTGAGGGGAGCGGGGCAAAAAGTGTGTGTGCTGGGTGAGTGGGGTCCTTCATGATGCAGGTGGCTCTCTTCCTGCATCTGGAGGTGTAGATGTCTGTGATGGTGGGGAGCCTGACTCCAACAGACTTCTGTGCAGCCTTCACCACTCTCTGCAGAGCTTTTCTTTCTGCAGCTGTGCAGCCTCCATAACACACGTTGATGTTGGAGCACAGGATGCTCTCCACTGCACACCTGAAGAAGGAGGTGAGGACTGAGCTTCCCAGACCAGCTCGTCTCAGCCGTCTGAGGAAGTAGAGTCTCTGATGAGCTTTCTTGATCAGTCTGGTGGTGTTGTTGTTCCAGC